TATATAAATTACAAAGCGTAAATGTTTCTATAAAAAGTTTAAAATCTATTATTTAAAACCTTAAAGATATTAATTGTGATAATGATTTGCCTAATATATGTCACTAACACGTAGAATGATATTAATGAGGAATTGTATTAGAGTGACACATGACAAAAAAAGATTAAAATTATTATTTTATTAGTATAGGGAGATTAACCTTTTTGTCAGGCCCGACCCTGACATTTCGGAGGCCTTGTGCGAAAATCAAAATGAAAGCCTATAAAAAAATTCTTATAAAATATTATTAAGTAAATTTGCTAACATTAAATGCAAAACTCAATGTTGCTAGAAAAACATCTCGTAAATTCACTATCACAACATTATGTCTCAACTCATTAGACGTTTGAGTTTATGTGGTCGTTGATATTCACTAGAATATCTTCTTTGTCATCACTATTACTATTCAAGATGACTATCTTCATTTACACACAGGGGCAGATTTAGGGGGGGTCACCGGTGGCACCGGCAACCCCTGACTTTCCGGGCCGTAGTGAAATTTTTTTCGAAATTTGTTAAAATTTTTATTTTTTCTATTATCGTGCAACCCCTAGCTTTCCCGTGCAACCCTACTGTGAAATCCTACGTCCGCCCCTATTTATACAAGGCATATATTCTGACAATTACAGTTCAACTTCTTCTCTAGCTTCTTCCACAACATCATGAACTTATTCTTTATGTTTTCCCACAGCTTAATGAACTTCATCTATGTTTTTTTGGCCCCTGTATTTCAGCTACTTCTTCTCTATGTTCTTCCACAATTGATTCTTCATTACAATCATATTCTTATATTTCTTTGAGAAGCCCAATGCCCCCAACACCCTAAAATCTACTGACAATGTACTGGCACAGTTATTAGGTTTTGTTATGGTTTATTTTTTTGACAGAGTTTATACAAATCTATAATGTTTGCTTTAACTTATATAAGAAACATATGTCTTTTTTGGATGTAGATACCTTCCTTAAAACACCAAAACTATTATTATATATTTGTTTCAAAATTTGAAGGCTTCTTAAAATCGAAGAATCCGTACAACCTTACCACTCGCACACCCCAAGCCACTGCTTTTTGTTATTGCTTAGATACACAAAGCCCCCAAGCTGGGAAGTTTAGTTCGATATAGCAACTTGAAAAACGTTATCTGGTATGTTTTGGAATTCAACATAAAATGAGGGTATATAAGAAATTAAAAATAAAAGAGGCGTATGTTATGAAATTTAGCCAAAAGTGCTTTGGTGATAACTGCAAGGGATGTGAATGGTCTAATTCCCGAAATGAGTTCACCGCGGCGATTGCAGGCGCGTGCGCGCGTAAATCCCTCGTCGGAGACTTCTCGATCGGATGTGCAATCGGAAAGTCTTGAGTCATCTCTACTCCGGCTCGTCAATGATCATCAGAACTCCGCTATACGACTCCGAGAACACACAGGTTATTTCAATTCGTTTAGTTTTGTTCTTTCGGAAATAGTAGTTTTGGGGAATTCGATTTTTAGTTGTTTGATTTGTACTTACACAGAGAAATCGAAGAAAGAAGCGATCAAGAGCGCGTCTCGCGTATCAGATCTGTTAGTGGAGGCTGTTAATGGAGGCGTGGAAGAGTGTTTCGTGAACGAGAAGCGAATCGAAGTCGAAATCCGAGCATTGAAGACTACCATTAAGCGATTTGCAAAACAGACTGATCAGTGGCTTGCTTCTACTCATGCTATCAACAACGCTATCAAGGTTCACTTTTCCTCTTCGTTTCTATACCACTAGTCACTAGTGGTGCGAGTCATATTCAAGTGTTGGAACTCGAAAACAAGTTACAGTTTCTATGAGTTTTGACACTTGTACATGATAATTAGTAGGTTAGCTCTTCTGAAAAAGAAACCCTAAGTTTATGATGACCAAATATTGGTACTCTTTTTCTTATCCTGCAATGGCTAAGTTTTTGCACCATAGTCGAGTTTTGAATATATGAATCACTTCATCTCTTAGTGATGAAACTGTATATCACAGGAAATAGGAGATTTTGAGAACTGGATGAAGACAATGGAATTAGATTGTAAAAGCATTGCTGCTGCTATCTCCAACATTCACCAGTCCTAAATAGCATGGTAAACTCATGACACCAACTACTTGCCATTTTCATTTATGATTTATCTTCACATCATGATAGAAGTACAGGTATTCATAGTATGTAAATGATGTAAATGAATGAAATTATACCTTTCAATTTCTTGGCTATCATACCATATTTTTAAGGGAACATTGCAAAAAATAGCAATGTACTTTATATTTTACCCCAAATCCACAATAGCAATTAACATGCAATTTTCTACTGATTTAGGCAATGTTTCTAGAAAACTGATAGTGCTTATGTGGCACAGGTTGTTGCCACATCATCTGGTACACAATTTATGACATGGAATTTTCCTTTAATTCAAATAATTTTTATTTTTAAGTTGTGATATTTGATATAATTGTTGTATGAGCAAGTTGTGTGAGAAGTTTGTATGCTTTAAAACATACATTCTTACAAACATGATCCACTATTTTTGCTTTTTAAGTTTGTTACCTTAAATTTTTGTTTTTAATGCTAGGGCTTGTTTGTTTCACTGATTTAGAAGGAATTTGGAGAAATTGGAATGTAAATTCTAGTAAAATTTGTCTTTGGTTGACAAAATCAAAGGAATTTGAATTATTTAAATTTCATGTTTGAATGAATTGGCCATTCTTTGGCTAGAAACAAAGATTTTAGATTCTATTTCTCTTAGGGTGTTAGCGGTGCGGTTTATAGTTAAAACTGCAAACCTCACTGCATATGCGGTTTGAGTTTTTTTTTTTTTTTTTTTTAAATTGCAAACCGCACCGCGAATGTTCTAAACTGCGTAATGCAGTGCAATTTGGTGTGGGTTGTTTAAGGAGTTGCTTTTAAAAACAAAAATATAATTATTTAGTTAAAATATTTTAATAAATTGTAATTCATGTTATAATGCTAACAGGTTTAGGAGTATGATTGTTGTTGTAGTGGTGTATTTTTATTTATTTATTTATTTATTTTTTGATATAAAATTGACTTTGCAGTTTACGTAGTAAATTTTGAAGACTAGCTGACAAGTAAATATAGTTAGATGCTTGGTTTTCGTTTTTTAACTTTACCTTTCACTAAATTCTCTTGGGAACAATAAGTTATCAGATATGCTTTGGAAATTATAATGTCACCTAATAGTTGTTACGCTACAAGCATTTTACTTTTAACGTTGTTTTTAAATCATAATTAGAGATTATACCGGTTCCGAATTCAACTTAACAAGAGAAAATAAAGGAAATGGATGGAAGTGAGAAGAACGTAAAAGAAACTGGTGTTCCTGAATTTTATTGAAGGAAGTGGAAAGAAATTGAATGATTCTCCTAACTTTCCTTCCGATTTAGAAGGATTTAGAGAGAAAGAACAAAATGTTTAATTTTCCTTCCACTTCTCTCCAGGAACACAAAGACAAATTTATTTTTCTTTTTCTTTATCTTATTTTCTTTTCTTTCTTTCTTATTTTCTTTTTTCAGCTACAACTTCGGAACTAGG